AAATTTGTGATATTTTGCAAATTAAAGTTATTTATTTATATCAAATGGCAGGCGTTTTGATAGTTATCATCAGCCCTTTTATTGACTTCAGGCATCACAGAGTGGAAGGAGCAGCAAAGAGGAAAAAAGTCGAGAGGGGGGGGGGAGGGACAGAAGAGTGTTTCAAAGATGTAAAAGAGACAGACAGACACAAAGGTAGAGAAAAGGTAAGATGAGTGCTGTATAAGGGGTCAAATATAACAACCAGGGGGTCGTGGTAGCTTGAAGTCAGAAGTCAAATGCCGGTTAATAGACTTTTTTGCCGTATGAGTATACGTTGCCCAGGGTGCACCACGTGGAGGTAAGTCTATCGCACACCCCTTGCAAATTAAAGTAAGGTTGAGACATGTTGCCAGCAGCGGAATTAACTTTCATACTGAACATTTCACTTTCTAGTTCCTGATCTACCTCCAAATCTTCGTGCAATCAGCGTTGAAGCTGACAGTGCTCAACTAATGTGGACAAAACCGAGAGTACCTGAGGGTGAAGAGCTTCTTGATTACAGTCTATGGTATTCCATTTCCAATGGAACCTCAGCGAATCCCAAGGAAGATCTTCTTGTGATCAAAGCTGAGGAAACACAAGTCATGTTGCGTGGTTTGACACCCGATTCCAATTACCATGTCCGATTGGCTGGGCGATCTTCCAGCGGTCACGGAACGACGGCTTTGCTTGATTTTCGCACTAAGGAACATCGTAAGTCAAAGCGTTTGAATGATTGGATTTATTCTGCTAAAGTGGATGGAAGAATGAGAAAGAGTGATACAGTCAGAGTACATGAAGGTTCTGCAAACTCTGTTTTAATTTTCAAATAGCTATAGGGCCTTATTCATCAAAATATATTACGTATAACTATTTAAACCATGAAGATGAACAAAGATGACTCATTTACAAATTTCCTCATTTTATAAGGAAAGCAAAACGGCTTGTATATGGTGTTAAGTTATTAGATTTGAAGAAAAATCTTGTTAGCTGGTAATCTACCAATTAGGAGCTATTTTCAAAGTCTAGAGTTTGAACGACCATTAAATGCTTTATGAATATAAAAATGGGAGCAACACCATAGTCCGATCCGTTGAAATTTCCCACTTCCGATTCACGACTTCATAACGCATTTTTTCCCAAAATTTCTATCTCATCACCTTCAAAGTTTATCTTCATTAGAGTAGGACGCACTCAAAGTATACTAAGATATACTAAGATTTATCTTCTGATTAACTCTATCATTGAAGTTAATGCGAAATCTTGTCCGAGACGTAACATTGATTCTTTTTCCACCTAAGTATTTATCACACCGATAGCACTATGCCTCTTGATCATCCAACCCAGCCGGGGAAATCTAAGTGTTTTCGTCCCTTATCGGCTTCTCCAATCAACTCATTTACAACAGGTAGCACCGTTTCCTTCTTTACGGTGATTTTATGCTCACAGAAGGAAGAGTAGTTAGTTAGTCGATGTTATCATACAAATTTTTCATCTCAACCTTTATCACGTATTAGCACCCCGGAAAGGAAAAGACGAAGCGGCAAAAAGGAATAATAATCCCC